AGTTAAGGAAACGCAACTTGAATATAAATTCAACCCTGAATTAAAGTGTGGTGACATATGATGCATGCACATTGCACAGTTGGCAGTTGTGAAGTTGGTCCACTCGACTTAATTCCCACTCTCATCTGTCATCTCATGCATGCAGTTTCTTGTATGGGAATCGGACTCCTCATTAGGCCTGGCAAACGGATTGTGTTTATCGTGTTTGTGTTATTTTCGTGTAACACCTGTTATCTTAACGGGTCGTGTCGTGTCACACCTGTTATCTTAACAGGTCCTTAACAGGTCGGGTCACTTTACCCACGTGTAAAGTGACCCGACCCGTTATGACCCATTATGACCCGTTAAGAAAAATATTTTTTTTCCTTAAATTTACACATACCGCACATTACCACATAAATATTACTGTAGACATCGAAATTTCGTAAATAAATATTGACTTTACCACACATTACCACATAAATATTACTGTAGACATCGAAATTTCGTAAATAAATATTGACTGATAAATCAAAGTGTCAACGCTCATGTATTACATAAATTTTACACGTAGTGTGTGACTCAACGAAAATTGAAATAAGTTAGAAAAGTCATCAAATAGGACACGTGTCAACACCTGGCAGAAACGACTTATTTCATCTGGGATATTATATTCAAAATTAGGCCTTGGAAAATTCTATAAATACAAGCCCATTTCATTCATTCAAGGGGACCAATTCATATTACACCTTGAAGCTCTAAAGCTCTGAAACTCCGAAGCTCTTAAGCATCCAGGTTCCCGAAGAACCAAGAAAGCCTTCTTCGTTCTTCGTTCATCATTCTTCCAAGATCAAGCCCCGACGGCCCTTGAAGAAAGTGTTCTTCGTTCATCGTTCTTCCAAGATCAAGTCCCAACGGCCTTTTGGATCAACAATCATCCACCAATCCAAGATCAAGCCCCGACGGCCCTTGAAGAAAGCACCATCGTTCATCATCCGTTCATCCAAGATCAAGCCCCGACGGCCCTTGGATCAACAAACATCAACAAATCCACACATCCAACCGTTCTTCAAGATCAAGCCCAAAAGCCCTTGAAGATCCGTTCATCACTGTTCTTCAAGATCAAGCCCAAAAGCCCTTGGAGATCCGTTCATCACTATTCTTCAAAGATCAAGCCCAAAAGCCCCTTTGAAGATCCGCTCAAATCCACCTTCAAGATCAAGTCCACGGCCCTTGAAGAACGTTCATCCTTAGATCAAGCCCAACGGCCCTTTGGATCAATCGCACATCCACAAATACACACCTTACGGATATCGAATCAGAGGATCAAAATAGAGAGAGATTGTAACCCAAAATCATCTAAATACAAATATTTTGTTTGTGCACGTTGTTCTTGTCTCTTTCGTTTCAGGATTTTTCCGTGTTCACAAATTGGCACGCCCAGTGGGACAATCTCTGCCTCTCATCTCTTTCTCCGTTCAAGAAATTCAAGCGTGCTTCCAAAATTAATGGCATCAAGGAAGGCTAAAACTGTTCCCGCAACCGGCGCAAAGAACAAAAGCGTCCTCGTCGCAACTGGTGTCACTTTGGGCATCACGACTCGAAGCATGGCAAGAGCTACTTCTGCCGCCTCTTTCACCTCTGCATCAACTCTGCCAAGGGAACAAAAGCACCCAAGGCACGAGCCTTTGATCACCTTAGCCTCACTAAGGGCACCAAGGGGGGAAAGCCCAAGGAAATACTCCGAATCCATGCTCTCTGATGTCGATTCAAGCGACAGTTTAGCCATGCAAGTCATGACCATTGGAGCAACTTCAATCGATGAGCAGCTGGCTCAAATGAATGAAGCAATCGCAAGGCTAACCCGAACTGTGGAAGAAAAAAACTTGCAAATTGCAGCACTAGTCAACCGATTAGAGGCACAAGACGGCGATAAACCCGACCCAGAGGATGATCCACTAAAGGGAGGAGCTGGCGGAGACGAAGAACCCCCGGTGAAGAAAATCGATGGGAAGCCGGAGCCAGACCAAGCAGCGGCACTCATGGGATCTCTTTCTATCCAGCAGCTGCAGAAGATGATCACCAACACCATCAAGGCACAGTACGAAGGGAGCTCACATACCTCCTTGTTCTACTCGAAGCCCTATTCCAAGAAGATTGATGCCCTAAAGATGCCAAGGGGTTATCAACCACCAAAGTTCATGCAGTTTGATGGAAAAGGAAACCCAAAGCAGCACGTTGCACATTTCGTCGAAACTTGCAACAACGCAGGGACGGAGGGAGACTACCTCGCCAATCAGTTTGTGCGCTCGTTAAAAGGAAACGCCTTTGAGTGGTACACGGACCTAGAGCCTGAGTCCATCAACAGCTGGGAGCAATTAGAGCGGGAATTCCTTAACCGCTTCTACAGCACCCGCCGCACTGTGAGCATGCTAGAGCTAACGAGCACAAAGCAGTGGAAGGACGAGCCAGTCATTGACTACATCAACAGATGGCGCACTCTAAGCCTAGACTGTAAAGACAGGCTCTCGGAAACCTCTTCAATCGAGATGTGCATCCAAGGCATGCAATGGGGTTTGCAATACATCCTTCAAGGCATTAAACCACGGACCTTCGAGGAATTGGCCACCCGCGCCCATGACATGGAGTTGAGCATCGCCCATCATGGGAAGAAGGAACCAATCGCCAACTACAAGAACGACAAAGTTCTTGAGACAAAGGTGGAGAAGGCTACGTGGAAATCCACCAAAGAAGCAATGACAGTCAACACAGCTCCCGTCAAAATCCCTACACGAGGCAAGGCGATTCAAGCCGAAGGCTTTCGTGATCAAGAGATGCGTAGACGCACTTTGAAGGAGCTTGAGGAGAAAACATATCCATTCCCTGACTCTGATGTGGTTGCCATGTTAGAAGACTTGCTGGAAAAGAAGGTGATTAGTTTGCCTGAGTACAAACGGCCAGAAGAGATGAATCGCACTGACAGTCCAAGGTACTGTAAATTCCACCGCTTCATCAGTCATCCGACAGAAAAATGTTTCGTGCTGAAAGATCTCATCATAAAGCTGGCTCAGAAAGGAATCATCGAGCTAGATCTTGACGATGTGGTGAACACAAACTATACCACATTCGCTTCTGGCTCTTCCGACTCGAAGTTTTCACCTCAACCGCTGGGGGCATCCTCCAAGACAAGCAAAATTGAAGGATGGACTCAAGTCACTCCTAAGAAATTGCACAAGAAGCATACGTCTCCTCCACAAGTCCGCCAATTGGAAAGGGGGCAAAGCAGCACTTGTCAACCTTCAAAGCAACGTGAACGTGTTGAAGATGATGAAATTGCGACACAAAAATCGTCCGTTGCCATCACGATGCGCGACTTCTTGCCCGAAGACTTCTTCAATCACGTGGTCAAAGCTCCTTGCTATGAAAATTGTGAGGAACGCCTCTCCCGGATTGCTTGACAAAATCAACAAATTCTCCTTGCCCGCACGAGTCTAAACTGCATGGCACAAAGCTCCTTGTTCGCACGAGCCTAAACTGCACGAACCAATGCTCATTGTTCGCACGAGCCTAAACTGCACGAACCAAAGCTCCTTGTCTGCAAGAGCCTAAACTGCAAGACACAAAGCTCCTTGTCCGCACGAGCCTAAACTGTAGGACACGAAGCTCCTCGCCTACACGAGCCTAAACTGCATGGCACAATGCTCCTGGTCTGCACGAGCATAAAAGGCAACACCAATGCTCCTTGTTCGCACGAGCCTAAACTGCACGAACCAAGGCTCCTCGCCTGCACGAGCCTAAACTGCATGGCACTAAGCTCCTGGTCTGCACAAGCATAAAAGGCAACACCAACGTTCCTTGCCTGCATGAGCTGAAACTGCAACACGGCACAGTGCTCCTGGTCTGCACGAGCATAAAAGGCAACACCAACGTTCCTTGCCTGCATGAGCTGAAACTGCAAACGGCACAAAAAAAAGAAAATACCAAAAAAAAAATATGTATGTATTTGAACTACGTTATGACTTGATCTCTTCTTTGGAAGGGTACGTAGGCAACTCGAACGTTCAACTTCGAGTACAGTCACGTCAAAAAAAATAAAATAAAATAAAATTAATTAAGGTTTTATTAAATGTTTGACTATTGAGAGTCAATTTTATTACAAATAAAAAATATTCTTTGTATTAAAAAACAAAAATGTATATATATATATATGTATACATGATAAAGTGGGTCTTCTAGCACTTAAGACCTGTGCAAAAAAAAACACAAGCTGGAGTCCACAGAAAGAAGCAGCCCAAATCCAAGCCCAAGCCTTCACTTGGCATGCGATTCAGAATGATGTTTGAGACTGAAGAGTCAGGAGTACGCAGATACATGGGTACAGTCACTGGCATCAGCGATTTGGATCCTGTTAGATGGAAAGGTTCCCAGTGGCGCAATCTTCAGACCCAAGTTTCCCAAGTAACCAGGGATGCCAGATGATGAATCCGACATCGATAATGCTTTCAGGAGAGCCATGCCTTGGCTTGGAGATGAATTTGGCATGAAGAACTCGCCAAGCTCGTTTTTTCCCTGGTTTGAGTTTGGTGCAGTGGATGAACATGCAACAAAATAATCAGTTTTCAGCTGCTCAGTCTGGATTTTTCCCATCCATGGTCCCTCCAGCCGGCCTGCAAAATAACCTTGGTACTGATGATCCATCCAAGTTATTGAGTTTTCAAGCCCCGGTGCAGTCTTCGCTCGGTCTCCAGTCAAATAAATCAGCACCAGCTCCTCCTCCCAGAACAAATATAACAACGGCAGCATGCCCAATGGATCTGAGCTATGTCCTAAGAATCCCCTTCAACTCCTCCACCTGCAAAAACTTCCAACCTCCTTCCAAAACCACACAAATGGAGTCGGATGACCTCACCAAAGATCCCCAATTTTCTCCAAAACTTCACGCTCTGTATCTCAAATTAGGGTTTAATTAGATTTCATCGACTTTTCTCGCCTGAATCAATCTCTACTGCAAATCAATCGCAATGGCTCGTAACGAAGAGAAAGCGCAGTCGATGCTCAATCGGTTCATTGCCCTCAAGGCCGAAGAGAAGAAGAAGCCAAAAGAGCGACGCCCTTACCTCGCCTCCAAGTGCCGCGACCTCGCCGAGGCCTCCAGATGGCGGCAGCAAATCATGGGGGAGATCGGCCGGAAAGTCACCGAGATCCAGAACGAAGCCCTCGGGGAGCACCGGACCCGCGACCTCAACGACGAGATCAACAAGCTGATTCGAGAGAAGGTACATTGGGAGCGGCGGATTGTGGAGCTCGGAGGCCCAAATTATGCCAAACACGCCCCTAAGATGACCGACCTCGACGGTAATGTTGAGATTTTCAATGTGCCGTACATACAAACTAAAATGGCTTAAATGTGAAAATCATTCGGCTGCACTGCTGATCCTGGACACCAACCTCTGCGTCAGAACTATCATCAAAGGCACCTCTGACTCCCAGCAAGAGCAGCAGCAGAAGCAAGAAAATTAAGATCAACCTCTTGCCACGCGACAGCGACAACACCGCCGTGATCATCATTGTTTTTCACAGCCGCACCCTCACTTCAAGTCCCCCGTGATCTACGACAAGAACAAGATGTCGCGGTTCGGAATTCTTAAGAAGAATGACGTCAACGCCGATGACATCATCTGGGTCGACTCCCCCGACACGTTCTACTTCCACCTCCCGACACGTTCTACTTCCACCTCTGGAACGCGTGGGAGGAGTCCGAGTCCGCTGAGGTCGTGGTGATCGGCTCCTGCATGACGCCGCGCGACTCGATCTTCAACGAGTGTGACGAGAACTTAAAGAGCGTGCTGTCCGAAATCCGGCTCAATTTGAAAAACCGGCGAGTCTAGTCGGCGAGCTATCTTGTCTGAATCGGATGATGTGAATTTGAAGGCCGTAAAAGCTGAAAAGTCACGGTGCTGGTGGAGATCATAGAGGTAGGGTCGCAACGGCAGAAGGACATATTGGTGGCAATTTTGTTGCGGTTGGAGTTGCAAATTCAGGACCGTTTGATAAAGATAGAGATCGTCAAGAACTGCTTCGCTAGGAGCGAGATGGTGGAGGTCCTCATCCAGCCTTCAGACCACCATCTTGGAGCCCAGACCACCGCAGCTTCAAAAGCTTCGTGGAAGCAACGAACTCCACACCTCCGGCTCCCTTTCTCCGTGCACCTCCATCTCCTCCGTCTCTTGCCTCGCAGCTGCCACCAACTTCAAAGACCGCTGTCAAACGACTAGCTGGCCGAGAAGCTCTTCCTCAAACTTCAGCTCTCCGTCGGTCTTTGTCCGCTCCCTGCAAATTCCTTTACCCACCACCCAAATTTCTATAGAAAAATATATTAAAAAAAAAAAGGGGGGATGGTGGAGCAAAGTGGTGCTGGCACCACGTGAAAAAAAAGAAAAGAAAAGGGAAATGGTGGATCAGCACCATGTGAAAGCAAAAAAAAGAATAAATAAATAAAAAAAAATATATATATATATATATATAAAATAAAAATAATAAAAAATAATAAAAAAAAAAAAAAAGGAGAGAAGGTGGATTCTTGGTGGCTAGCACCATGCAAAGGGGAAGGGTTTTGGAATGGTGGATGAGTCCACGTGAAAAAATATACATATATATATATATATATATATATATATACATACATACATAATATATGTATGTATATAGCAAAAAAAAAAAAAAAAAAAAAAAAAAAAAAAACGCATTGAGAGAAATAGAAGTCCATTTTATTTATTTTTCTGGAAATTTTACATAAATTTGCATTATACATACCTAAAAAAAAAAAAAAAAAAAAAAAAAAATTCAAATCAAATCAAATTTACAAGAGGGTATCTTCAAGGACGATCAGGTGCCGCCTCACCACTCGGCAAAGCTCCAAAAATGAGAGGCGCCGGAGGTTGACTGTTTGAAGCCACACCACTCGGCGGAACTCCAGGAAGAGGAGGCACCAAAGGTTGATCGTTTGGAGCTTCATTACGCGATACAGCCCCAGAAGACGAAGGCAAATGTTGTTGGAACAAACCCACAAACCTCCGATGATCAAGTAAAATCTGACCATCAGATTCCTGCATCTGGTCAATTTTCCTCTTCATGTTTGTGGCATAGTTGTGTGCGAGCTTGTGCAACTGTTTATTCTCATGCTTGAGCCCTCTAATCTCCTGTTTGAGACTCATCACTTCAGCCGCCAACGATTCAACTTGATGGGTTCGAGCAAATAGGCGTTGGGCCATGTTGGACACAGAACCCGCACACTACACACTAAGAGCTAGAGACTCCTTAACAGCCAACTCATCAGACCGCCTGGAAAGTAGTCTGTTATCTTTGGGAGTGACAAGGTTCCGGGCCACCACCGCAGCGGTCATATCATTCTTCATCACTGAATCCCCAACGGTAAGAGGACCAGTAAGGGATATGAAGGATGGGCGCCATATGTTATCTGGAGAAGACGGGACTACCTCTTCATCAAGATTCAAATCAAAACGACGGTCGGAGGGTCCAGACATTTTCAAAGTGTTGAAGAAAGAAGAGGTCGGACGAATCAAGATCTTTGAAGTGCAAGAAGGGAGTTTCTACAAGCGAAAATTCAAGTGTGCTTTGAAACGAACTGCATGCCTCTATAAAACAAATCAGCACTCGACGGGATTTCAGAGATCGAAGAGGCGAGCTCATAATTCGAAGAGGCCATTCAAAAATCGAAGAGGCAAGCTCGGAAATCGGAAAAGCATCTTGCTTTTCCAGACGCGTCGGCACCCATCACACGCAAACTCAGCTTTGCGGAAATCACGGGTAATTTGTCGAAGTGCTGATCCCAGATATCGAAGAGGAACCAGTCTTTTTCAGCCGCGTCATCATCTGTCATATGCACACTCAACTTTGTGCAAATCACAGACAATTTGTCGAAGATTTTTGGGTGAAGGAGAAAGCACGTGAAGTTTACTGTTCAAACATCCAACGGTTGCCGACACGAGTGAAAGAATAGTACCTCTACAGGTATTAAGGGACCTCCTATAACTGTCCACCTTCACCTTCCATAGCAAGGCAGACATACAGAGCCTTTCTTCATCTCCAAAAAATGCTTTCCCAACGAAACCTCTCGAGTCATTCAGTGTTCCTTATTCCTTGGGGTACCTCTGCAAGCCAATAGCTCCAAAGAAAAAGTATCTCATATCACCAGGGTAGAAAGCAAGAGTATCTCATATCATGCGTTCTCCCTATCATTTCCTTTGTCCTTGTTCTTACCTACAAAGACAAGGATAAAGAAAACAATATGTCGGAACCTCCACTCAAACGCGGGTAAGGAACCGACTGCTTGGAACCCTTCCCTGATTGCCTACCTAGCACTGCTCTCGAGTACTCATCTCCCACTGCTGCTGTACTTCAAAAGAAGCTACCACATCTGCCGGAAGAATAGATGAGGCAAGTGAAAATGATACCTTGCAGCATGTGGAGACAAGGTGCAGAAGGAACAAGCAGAGAAGAATGCAGTCTGCACAGTCAACTCAGCAGAAGGAGTCCGAGTTGAAGAACTCAAGAAGTTGCCATATCTGCCTGAAGAAACAAGCAGAGAAGAATGCAGCATGCTCAGTCAACTCGGCAGAAAGAGTCTGAGATGAAGAACTCGTTTTGACCCTCAAATTCTTGGGTCGACTTACTAGGCGTTGTGGGTTGCACGTGCCGATTCACCACCCTTGAATCAAATCCTTAAAGATCAAGTCACCAACTGGAAGAAGAGTTCATCAATCTTGAAGATCATACCGTTGACCAAACTGCTCAGGTGTGAATTAGAAAGATTGAACAGAGCAACAAGTCGTCACCTTCACCTCGTGCCTGCTTGTCATGTGTTCGAGTCAACCTTCAAGAATCAAGCCTCAACGGACCTTGAAGAAGCTTTCAGCCAAATTCGAAATCAAGCCTCGACGGCCCTGGAAGAAATCACAAGTCTGATTCAAGATCAAGTGTCTACCACCCTTGAATCAAAACCTAGTTCAAGAATAAGCTGTGGAAAATCAACAATTGGAGGAATCCAGAAAATCCTCTAACCTAGTTCAAGATCAAAGCTGTGGAAAGTCAACAAGCGCAACAAAATACGTGCCGATTCATCCACTACCAAAGCCAAAAATCATCTACCACATGAAGCTCATTGTGGCCTAATTTCAACCTTCAAGATCAAGCCTCGACGATCCTTGAAGAAATTTCAAACAAAAGTTCAAGAACAAGCCTCAACAGCCTTTGAAGAAATCTCAAGCCCAATTCAAGATCAAGCCTCAACGGCCCTTGAAGAAATCTCCAGCCCAATTCAAGATCAAGCCTCGACGGCCCTTGGATCGACATCTACAATAAGGGACTTCAAAACGCATCTCCTACACGTGACAAGCACATGTATACGACGTGCCTTGAAGTGGGGGCATTTGTAGACATCGAAATTTCGTAAATAAATATTGACTGATAAATCAAAGTGTCAACGCTCATGTATTACATAAATTTTACACATAGTGTGTGACTCAACGAAAATTGAAATAAGTTAGAAAAGTCATCAAATAGGACACGTGTCAACACCTAGCAGAAACGACTTATTTCATCTGGGATATTATATTCAAAATTAGGCCTTGGAAAATTCTATAAATACAAGCCCATTTCATTCATTCAAGGGGACCAATTCATATTACACCTTGAAGCTCTAAAGCTCTGAAACTCCGAAGCTCTCAAGCATCCAGGTTCCCGAAGAACCAAGAAAGCCTTCTTCGTTCTTCGTTCATCGTTCTTCCAAGATCAAGCCCCGACGGCCCTTGAAGAAAGTGTTCTTCGTTCATCGTTCTTCCAAGATCAAGCCCCAACGGCCCTTTGGATCAACAATCATCCACCAATCCAAGATCAAGCCTCGACGGCCCTTGAAGAAAGCACCATCGTTCATCATCCGTTCATCCAAGATCAAGCCCCGACGGCCCTTGGATCAACAAAGTTTTGTCCAATTACTTGATATCTGAATGTTTGTTTTTTGCAATTTTTGGCTAATGCGATCTCGAAGTATATACAAACAAGTTTGACGGTTGGATCGTTAAAATTAGTTTCGTAGAATTCGTATCCCATCAAGTTCAATGGTATATATATATTTATTAAGTAGACTTAAATTTATTTATTTTGTACATATAACACTTAAGAAATTGAATGGCATGTATATTTAAGCCGATCCAATGGTCACCAATTTTTAATATTTAATTTAATATATATATATATATATATATAAAATTATTATAGTTTTTATGGGTATAAAATTGTTAAATTAATATATATAATTATTATAGTATTTTTTTAGGGTTATAAAATTATTAAAATAATATTTTGCTTATCGTGTATCGTGTTACCCAAGTGTATACCAAAACCAATCCGTTATCTTAACAGATGCTTATCGGGTTACCCAATAACGACCCGATTTGTTATCGTGTCGACCCGAACACCTGTTAATTTCGTGTCATGTCGTGTTGGGTTATCGGGTCGTGTCAGAAATTGCCAGGCCTGCTCCCCATGCATTCCCAAACCACAAGAACCTGCTGATTTTCTTTTAAACAACCATAATTTGAGGGGATTTCTATACTACTCAAATAGTATCGACAAATTTGGGTTTCTTAACGTTGGAGTTTTTATTAAAAATACTAAAAATTAAAATTTAACAGTTAAAAAATTTAAAGTATTCTATACTCTATAAAATCAGAGAAACTTTGTAATTTGAGGAGATAATCGAACATAAAATACCTCTCTACTCTAGGTTTTTGCATAATTAATGCTATTATTCACACATTTCTTTCTTATAGCTATGTTTTAGTTTTCACAACTTTTTGACTCAATATTTTCAATAGTGGGTCAACAACCAACATGCTTTTTAGTCAAAATGATATCTGAGATTGACATAACTCTTCATTTGGGTTCCTGAATTTGTCCACCACTAATTATTTTGGTTATTCCGTTAAAAATCTTTATTAAATAAGGATAAAATGACAAATATATCCTCAACTTTTGTCAAATAATTTGGCTCAATGTTTTGAGGATGTTTTAGTCATTTTGGTCCTTAGTTAACAAAATATTTCACAGAATGACCAAAATAATTGATGGTAGACAAACTCAAAGACCACTTCTGTCGATTTCAAATCTTAGGGACCAAGTGTGGAGTTATGAAGTATAATATCATTGTCTAATTCTTCAATTCTTCAATTTCATTGTCTAATTCTCCAAAGAAAAGAACAAAAAATGAAGTATATCCATTTCTTTATATTTTTTCCGACGATCACCCCAATATGAGAGATCATCAAATAATATCAAGTTGAACATCAAGCAAACACCTTATAAGTTATAATATCATAAGAACTAATTATGTCCAACACATTAATTAAAAATTACTAAGTGACATGCTAAATGATTTTTCTAAGGAAAAGATAAATAAAAGCATAGTCAACTGATACAAATAATAACGTGTCATTTAGTTATCGTGATTTACAAATAAACATTAACCGTTCACTAGCGTATCTTATCATGTAACTTTTTTGTGTTCATTTATGTCATGTTATCACGTCCTACATTCTTTTTCAAGGTCTAACTAAAATGATAGTTTAGACAAGATATCGTTCCTCTTCGGAGTAACGGTATTTTAAACAATGAGCCTCCCCGCGTACACGGCAACCCCAATCCAACTCCCTCAACTTCCCAAACAACCACCACCACTTCTCCCACTTCCGAACCCTTCCCAGCCCACCTCCCCTAATCCAAACCACTACCGGAAGCACTCCGTCGCTCTCGAAAGGACCAAAACCCCCATAGAACCTACTGTTTCATGGACCTCCTCCATATCTCACCGCTGCCGAAATGGTCAATTAGCTGAAGCCGTTGCACTCTTCATCCAGATGAGACAAGCTGGCATTGAACCAAACCACGTCACATTCGTTACGCTTCTCTCCGGCTGTGCTCATTTTCCGGCCAAGGGTGTATTTTTTGGGCCTTCGCTTCATGCTTATGCCCGGAAACTCGGATTGGATATAACTAATGTGATGGTGGGCACGGCGGTGATTGATATGTATGCCAAGTGTGGCGGTGTGGATTCTGCTAGGTTGGTTTTTGATGGGCTGGATGTGAAGAATTCAATGTCTTGGAATACTATGATTGGTGGGTACATGAAAAATGGGAAGGTTTGGGACGCGGTTGACCTGTTTGAGAAAATGCCTAAGAGAGATGCTATTTCCTGGACCGTGCTGATTGGCGGGTTTGTCAAGAAAGGTCAGTTCGAGCAAGCGTTGGAATGGTTTCGAGAGATGCAGCTCGCAGGAGTGGAACCAGATTATGTGACTATAATTGCTGTAATCGCGGCGTGTGCAGATTTGGGAACGCTTGGTCTAGGCTTGTGGATAAATCGTTTTGTTATGAAGCAAGACTTTAAAGACAATGTTAGGATAAATAACTCGTTGGTTGATATGTATTCTCGATGTGGTTGTATTAGTTTTGCTCATCAAGTATTCAAGAGTATACCCAAAAGGACATTGGTATCTTGGAACTCGATGATTGTGGGCTTTGCTGTCAATGGGCATGCAGAGGAAGCTCTCGACTTCTTCAACCTGATGCAGAAGGAAGGGTTCAAGCCAGACGGGGTCAGCTTCACTGGAGCACTCACTGCGTGCAGCCATGCTGGTTTAGTCGATGAGGGGCTCCGTTACTTTGGTAACATGAAGAGAGTTCACAGAATAACACCCAGAATCGAGCATTATGGGTGCATAGTCGATCTCTATAGCCGTGCAGGGAGGTTAGAAGATGCCTTGAGTGTAATAGAAAACATGCCGATGAAGCCAAATGAAGTGGTGTTGGGTTCTTTGTTGGCTGCTTGTAGAACCATTGGGAACATCAGTTTAGCTGAAAGATTAATGAAGTACCTCTATGAGGTTGATCCTAGCGTTGATTCCAACTATGTGCTCCTAGCCAATATATATGCAGCTGTTGGACGGTGGGATGGTGCAAACAAGGTTCGAAAGAAGATGAAAGACCTCAGAGTGCATAAGACACCGGGATTTAGTTCAGTTGAGATTGACTGTAACATTCATGAATTCGTGGCCAGTGATAAGTCCCATGTTGACACAGAGTGTATTTATTCAACCCTAGAGCTTCTCTCCTTCGAGCTCAAATTACGTGGGTATGTTCCGGAAAACTTTGTGACAGAATCGTATGAGTTTGATTGATACTGTTGTTATAGGTTATTCGAAAATAGAATGTACTTTTGCAACTACTTGTGAAGCCCCAAAATCAGTCTTGTCCATATATAATTTCGGAAGTGATTGCGCACACCCTTGTTCTACTTTTGCACACCTCTTCATTTATTTTTCCCCTGATTTTTTTTATTCGATACAATAAACACCAAACTAGGTCATACTTTGTTGAATTGCAATGTTCAGAATGACCAACAAGGAAAAGAAGTGACCTCAAATACACAGTTTGAAGTCAGTCTCAGACTCTCATGCTTAGAATGTCGTGAGCAATAGCATTTATCCCCAGATCTTCTTGGTGGTAAGTTAGACATATCACCCAGCATAGTCACACGATTATCACAGGGAACATCTGATACCTCAGAAGTGCCGAATGAAAATTCTTGCGTTCTCCAGTGGTCTTACACTCGCAGCCTCTAGCATTTCTGTCGATCCCCATCGAGATATGTTCTCCCACAAGTTGTGTTCCATGGCAATGGCAGAGAGAGCATTCCAGCCATCTATGTTCTCTAGTCTCTTCCATCTGTCCTTGCATAAATTCATAAGCAGTGAAAGTCCCAGTAACTAGAAGGCAACATTCTGACTGGGAAAATATTTGGCTTTGCAAGAGAGAAGGGAATATTTCCCCCAAAAATGGGAGTTTAGCACATGAGCATGGAAATAATGGATTTTTTGCAAGTAATTCGGTGTTAAATGCCTCGCAGAGATGCTACACCAAGTCGCTTTCCATAAAGCATCGCTTCCACTCTCTCAGCCACCTCTACCTGCCCATGAATCCTACAAGCACCCAACAATGCGCCCCATAATGCCTCATCCGGCTCCACTGCCATCCCCAAAACCAACTCCTCTGCTTCCTCTACCCGTCCCACCCTACCCAACAAATCTACCATACAGGTATAATGCTCCAGCCCGGGCATCACCCCGAACCTCCACTCCATCATTTCAAAATACTCCCTCCCCTTCTCTGTCAGCCCTCCATGACTACACGCTGTCAAAATCGTAGTGAAAGTCATTCCATCCGGCGTCTCTCCTGCCTCCACCATCCTATCAAACAGCTCAAACACCTCGCCAAATACTCCATGCATCCCATACCCCGCCATAATTGCCGACCAAGAAATCTCATTCCTCATCAGCATTCCGTCAAACACTTTACGGGCACCCACCAAATCACCACACTTCGCATACATACTAATCAACGCATTTGAGTTCGCCAAATCGAAGCCAAACCCATTAACCAAAACAGCTCCATGCATTTGTTTTCCAAGCCTCAACGCCGATAACCCGGCACAAGATTTGAGTACCGCAGGCAAGGTATGGCGGTCCCAGGGTTTATTGGCGGCAAGCATACGGAGAAAAATGGACAGAGACTGAGAGAAGAGGCCTTGGGAAGAGTGGGCTCTGATGAGGGTGTTGAAGAGGAAGGTGGGTCGGCGAGTACAGAAGGAGAAAAGCAGGTTGCATTGCTTCAGTTGGGCAGCGGCTGCGTAGGAGCTGAGGAGCTTGGTTCGGATGAAGTCGTGGCGGGAAATGCCGAGTTTGATGGTTTTAGCGTGGAGCTGCGTGAGGGTTTGGAGGTTCTTCGACGAACTGCAGGCGTCGAGTAGAGTGGCGTAGAATAGTATGAGGCCGCGAGGTGGAGGAACACACATGGCTGCCTGTGTAGCAAACTCAAGGAGGATTTGTTCCTGAGAGCACGAGTGTTTATGCGATATCAAATTCGACCGTTCTATTTAAACAAATCAAAATCATTACTTTACAAAAATATGAATTATACTTGCATGTCTTTGGGTGAGTTCATTCGCTCACTTACAAATAACATATTTTAACACTAAAAATGTTATAATTGAAATTGTTCAATCATCCTTACAAAAACACATTCGAGTCGGAGATGGTTTAGTCATTCAAACATATTAACTAATCAACGATGTAGGTACTAAGTAACATATTAATGATGAATTGCCTATTATTTGATAGATTTGGATGAGTAGACAATTTCTGTTTCAAATGATTTTCGGTAAGTATGGTCTTCAAATGAAGATTAAGTCATTAAACGATGCTGATGATAATTTTTTTTATGGTAATGATACGTTATTTGCAAACGGGAGAATAAGGTAATCCCCAAAAAGGATCAAGGGTAAAAGAAGACCAAGAAAATCTCGATCAAGCATAAGCAACGACAATCGTACAATTTTGCTTGACAAATTTTACACTATTTCATCGGGCAAAGTTATATTCTGAAAATAAAAGAATACAAAAATATTTCACCCGAACGAAAAAGTCGTCGAGCAAGTAGTTTAATGAGAAAAAAGTTAAAAAAAATACAAAATACATGCTCGACGAAAGTATTCGTTGGGCAAACTTTTTATTTTTATTTTTTTTAAATTCTTAATTTAATTATATTATATATGATTAAATTAATTAATTAGTTTTAAATATATTCGTGCAAATGTATGTAGAATATCCTAAACTGACTAACCATTCCTAGGGTGGCTGCTAGGATGGCGGCATAAGGTTGCTAGGAGGATCGGTGAGGCGAATGCCAGAGGCTGCCATTGCCTACGCCATCAATTGCATGTACAACCGAAACTTATCCTATTGGCGCACAACTTTTTCTTTAGTTGCTTCGCGCTAGTGCAACTTCTTCTCCCTTACACATGGCATGTAACTCCATCTCCAATTACTGCAGTCTGGAAGAAGTCCCCGCTTCCATGTTGAGAGCTAGATGAAGAAGATTCCTGAGGTCCCAAACTCGACCTGCTCATAGGTCGTAGATCTCTTAGCCTTTCCATCGACCAACCTTCCCTTCCATCAACATCTGTAGAGACACATGTGAATCAAGTCTCAGCTGCTCCATTGGCATGTCTGGTTGCAGCTGGGAGAGGTTGATGAGACACTCGTCATTCTTTTGCGACATAGAAGCCTACAAAAAAATAAAAGAGAAACCAATTAAGATTACTAATCACAATTTTAAAATTTTAGGTGTAATTAAATTTGAATAGAGTACTTACATAAATGCCATCAACACCTAGATGCCGTAGTTGGCATGTGTATCTCCACATGCATCTACTTTTGGGAAAAACGAACCTTGTGCAAGCCGTTCTTCGACCTGGCAAGTGAGTGGTCGAGCACCAGAGCGATGGAGGTACTGCTTCGCTTCCCGATTAGCCTTATTTGCCGTTGATTTTTACTGTGAATAAAAAAAAGGGAACTTTAACGAAAAGCACCCAGTACTGTTCACTTTAACGAAAAACCACATTTTTACACTAAAAAGTCAATCCTGGTACTATTCACTTTACCCTTTATTTTGTCCTTATCATTAAAACTCAAAGTTTTCAAGCCATTTTCATTAGTTTTCCTTAAAAAAATTTGATTAAAATAAAAAAAATTAAACTTAAAATGAAAATTAATAAAAAAAAGACTTACTAGAAATTTTGTGATATGAAAATGACCTCAAAGCTAGTTCAACTCGTCCATCCTTTCCACAAATTCTGGGAATGCGTTGTTTATCTTCAGCAGGAGATGCACAAGTCACGTAGTATTTGTGTCGCTTGTGTAGATGCAAATTTCCATCTTCTTCTCATTTGACGAAAATGCAACTGCAAAATAATAACACCTAAGATCAAGGCCACGAGCCTCACGCGCCCACAATGAATTTGGGGGGGGGGCTTTGGCTGAAGAATCTCCGATGCCAAAGTTAGAATTTGAGAGAGAAAGTGTTTAGAGAATTTTAGGGAGAGAATGAACTTGCATTTTGGTGTGAAGATGGGGCTATATATAGGGGTGTGGCCGGCCCTATTTGGAGAAATAGGGACCGTCCACTTATGGTGGTATTTTGAATACAATTGCAAGATATTATCTCAAATAATATCTTGCAATTAATTTGGTAATTAATCCCAATTTGCAAAAGAATAATTGGGAGTTACCTTGTGGGTGAGGATATGATGAGGAGTGATGAGAGGGTTTTGAAAAATACTATTTTGATCACATTTGACTCTTCCTTGTTTGAGCCGTTATTGTCCGTTGCATGCATGTGAGAATCCCGTTGTGCCTCGAGGGTAAATTTGTCCTTTTCACCCTAAAGTAGACATGTCGCCTCCATAACTTTCTTGATTATATTTGGCACCACAAATGCCCCTACACGTGCTGGGCTATTCGCAGGAAAGGGCAAAAGGTGTAGAGATCTTTAACTTTGATGCAGATTCCCACTTGGACTTGGAATTAGATGGAAAGGGAAATAAATTGCCTCTAAAGCCTATTTACGTCTATCTAAGTAGGGGATTAAATCAACTTCGGAGGACAATTATTTATCCCTACAAGAAAGAGCGAAAACTAGAGGATATTTGTTCCCCCTTCCCTAGCACTCTGCTTTGCTTGCCCGTGCAAAGAACCATCTTTTGTTGATGTCTTTGTCTTCTCCGCACCACACCAATGTAAGAAAAACTTAATTTTCTTTGTCTTTTTCTTGGGTGGTGCTACCATAGGGCAGCTGTCGGGGTGGTGCAGCATGTCAGCTGGTAGGGGCCACAGTTTGTGTTGCTCAGCTTGACTGAAGCCAAGGGATGGCTCGGCTTAGGCCGAGGAAGTGGCGTGGTATGTGCCATAGTTTAGGCTGCCACGTCTGGGCTGCTTGCCAAGAATGAAGAAACTGCTTGAGTTTGTTTTCTCAGCTGTCGTAGATGGACCAATCAAGGACGGAGCTGCCAAGATTAGATAAATTAATTGCTTTCTAGTGCTAGAGGGTATACTAATTCCCCGACACCTATCTGGTCTGCTCTCCAGTGCGAGAAGATAAACTAATTGTTCTCCACTGTGAGAGGGTAAGCTAATTCCCAGACACCCATTTGGGTCTGCTTTCCAGTTCGAAAGGATAAACTAATTGCTTTCCAGTGTGAGAGGGTAAACTAATTCCCGGACAACCATCAAGTTTGCTCTTCGGTGTGAGATGATAAACTAATTGCTCTCTAGTACGAGAGGGTAAACCAATTCCCCGATACCCATTTGGGTCTGCTCTTTAGTGCGAGAGGATAAACTAATTGCTCTCCAGTGCGAGAGGGTAAACCAATTCTCCAACACCAATCTGGTTTTGCTATTCAGTGCAAAAGGATAAACTAATTGTTCTCCAATACGAGAGGGTAAACTAATTCTCCGACACCCATTTGGGTCTGCTTTCCAATGCGAGAGGATAAATTAATTACTCTCAAGTGCGAGAGGGTAAACCAAGTCCCCAACACCCATCTAGGTCTACTCGCTAGTGCGAAACGATAAACTAATTGCTCTTCAGTGCGAGAGGGTAAACTAATTCTCTGACACCCATTTAGGTTTGCTCTCCAATGCAAGAGGATAAACTAATTGCTTTCCAGTGCGAGAAGGCCACAGAGCTTAAAAAATCGTATACTCGAAGACCAGCTAAGTAGGAAATGGCCAGGGAGCAGCAACCATCTCGCTTATCCGACACTTCATCTTCAATAGCTTCGATCTTGGCAGGTCCGTCCTTGATTGGTCCATCTAAGGCAGTTGAGAAATCAAACTTAAGCAGTTTCTTCATTCTTGGCAAGCAGCCTAGACGTGGCAGCCCAAACCATAGCCCATACCACGCCATTTCCTCACCCCATGTCTAGCCAGCCTTTGGCTTCAGTCAAGCCGAGCAGCACAAGTTGTGGCCCCTGCCACACCATCTCCTCGACCCATGCCAAACCGACTCCTGGCCTCTGCCAGCCGACGTGCCGCACCACCCAGACAGCTGCCCCGTGGCAGCACCTCCTAAGAATAAGACAAAGAAAATTAAGTTTTTCTTACATTGGTGCGGTAAGAAAAAGACAAAGAATTCAATGGAAGACGGTTTTTTGCACGGGCAAGCAAAGAAGAGTGCTAGGGGGAGAGGGAACAAATATCCTCTAGCTTTCTCTCTTTCTTGTAGGGATAAATAATTTTCCTTCGAAGTTGATTTAATACCTTACTTAAGGTAGGCTTAAATAGGCTTTGGAGGCGATTTATTTCCCTTTCCTAGAAGAATCTAATTCCAAGTCGAAGTGGGAATCTGCATCAAAGTTGGAGATCTCTATACCTTCTGCCCTTTCTTGCGAGCAGCCCATCAGGTGTGGGGGCATAAATAATCAAAAAAATTATGAAGGCGACACGTGTATTTTAGGGTGAAAAGGGACAAAATTACCCTCGAGACACATCAGGATTCCTGCGCACATGCAGCGGATAATAACAACTCAATCAAGGAAGAGTCAAAGGTGATCAAAATGGTATTTATTTAAAACCCTCTCATCACTCCTCATCAAATCCTTACCCACAAGGTAACTCCCAATTACTCTTTTCAAATTGGGATTAATTACCAAATTAATTGCAAGATATTATTTGAGATAATATCTTGCAATTATATTCAAAATACCACCATAAGGGGCCGGTCCCTATTTCTCCAAATAGAGTCGGCCATAACCCTATATATAGCCCTATCTTTACACCAAAACTGCAAGGCCATTCTCTCCCAAAAAATTCCTAAACACTTTATCTCTCAAATTCTAACTCTGGCATAAGAGATTCTTCGTCAAAGCCCCTGCCATTCATCGTGGGCACGTGAGGCTTTTGGCCTTAATCTTAGGTGTTATTATTTTGCAGGTGCATTTTCGTCAAGGGAAAAGATGGTGGAAATTTACATCCACAAATTATTTGTGGAGCAAAAAATAATCATGGAAATTATGGAGGTGACATGTGTACTTTTAGATAAAATGACAAAAATACCCTCGAGGCATACTGGGATTCCCATGCCATG